TTAATAGAATGAGTTAGAGATCAATGTGTTTTTGTTATTTTCATGGTAACTTCATCTCAATAGATGTATCTTTCCTTGGTAAGAGACTCAAACCTAAAGTCTTTAGGCCTTAGACCTGAAATTTAATTTTTATACTGAACTTAAGCATAAATCTATGCAACAATGGTTAAATTATGGAAAAGAATTAAGATATAGATTAATGTAAACTTGAAACTATTATATAATTATCTTCTACTAACGAATATGTGAACATAGTTATGCTTAAATAGTTTCTCTAAGGTTTGGTTATTTGTGAGAATAGAAGTGATTTAGAATTATCATGGCGATAACTAGGTGTTGATATTGTTGTTAAAGGAGAGCGGATTGAATTGATTGATCGCTCGATGGATGGGCTGTGTGAGTTTGATTGATAAAGGCTTGCTATTGTTACTATTTATACAGGTATACAATCATATTTTTAAGGGAGGTTCTACCAAGATTTCGATTGGATTTATATTAATTTTACTTGTTGAATAGGTTGTTGAATTATTTAAGATATTCCTTTATTTTTATGTAGGAGAATGCTTTATTTAATTATTTCTCTCCTTCCAATTCCATTTTATTAGATTGCCCTAGTACCTTCACTGCTCCAACAAGTCATATTCCAAATTAAGGGTCTTTCTCATCTATCATTATGAGTCATAATAAATAATGGATACCATCATTTGCATGCATAGATTATTTACTTTATAAAGAAATATATAAATGATAACTTAGCATTTATTTTTATATTACTATGTTATCATTAATATATGATTATATTTTTATATTTATTTACATCATAATTATATTTTATGTTTGCATTTTAATTATTGATTAATTGCATTATACTGAGTGAATTGTTTGTTTGTTTATGTTGTGATATTGATATGACTTGTTTGTGTGGGATTGGGATGAAGTGGGTTACCAGGGTTTGTGAGGGTGATCTGTGATAGCGTTGGCTATGTATGGGGAGATCGGCACTCTCGTGTGCATCCATGTATGAATGATATGAAAAAACCATAGGATGGCCTCCTATTGGTACTATAAAAGAAAAGAAACAATGGGAAAATAATAAGAGGGACAGTCAAGTGAGGATTAGACCGATCAGCCACGTATGGGGAATCGGCTCCCTAGTGCACACGTCTTGAGAGGATGGGCCATGTGTGAGGACGGCTTGTCGGGGGGTTTCGATGATGCCACTGACCAATTATCATTGTTTGATTATGTGAAGGTGTTATTGTTTGTGGGTGCTGTTGTTGTGTCATATGTGTGACTGTTTGGCTATGCATTATTTATTTACCCGAAACACTTACCCTGTTTCATCTAAATTTGTTGAGGAATCTGGATCTTCAACCTCTTTAGTTGGCTGAAGCTTTGTTCTTTTTCCTCCATAGAGTTGGTTAAAGTAATAATTAAAGTTTGAATGTCAATTCTTATATAGTTGAGTTCATTTATTATTATAATACTAGTAGGTATCCACAATTATATTAGGAATGTTACTTATATCTAATTCCTAACATGTGTTAATCTTAGTTTGGTGAATTTGAACCTGTGAATGTCAGCATGTGTTGGATATTTGACTAATAGGGCTAATGAATGTACTTATAGATGTGGTTTGAATGCATAAGAAACAGGCCCGTGAAAATAAGGAAATTGGTGAATGACGAACATATATATATATTTGAGTTGGGCCTTGAAAAGATGTTTAATTAATTATAGGCATGCTAGATAAATGTTCACAATAGATTTAAATAATATAAGTTTGTTTCAGGCTTACCACGGGTCTTGGTGGCCTTAAACTTACCTAGGCCTTAGTGTTGGTCCGGCCCACGATTTTGGGTCGTGACAGTATAGAACAAAAAGTTTTGCTAGAATTGATGCTTCCCTCTGCTTTTCCTTCTTCTCTTCATCACCTTAGCCTCCACAATTGCTTTACATCCTTCGTACTCGGTAGTGATACGCTTAACTAGTCCCTCTCGACCCTTCCTCTTCTGGCCCCTTGCATGAGCACTTCCTCCAGTTAGATTCCTAAAATTCACCCAAGATGATTCGACAAAATTCGTATAGATACCCCGCTACGCAACTCCAGGCACAGATTCTGTGTTCAATTTTTCACACAACTAATAACATAACTTCCTGTTTATAGTCATTTCTGGCAATTTTAGTAACTCTTTAAGACCTAACTCCATCACCCACTGCTTTTGTACATCCGTCAAATTTATAACCAGTAATTTAAGCGCCAAAGGCCTACATTATACATTAGGGCTCTACATGATATAAATAAGCCTACTTAATCATACCATAACATATCTAAAAAGCATATAAAAGCATCATATTGCAATTGCTCTGATCGATTTCACACTTTTTTGTAATGTGTGCATCGCAGCCTTTACTAAATCCTGTAGCATTTTTAATCAAATCACCTATAGATTCATTTGTATTGCCATCTTCGTTATTAACCTCCTCCCTACATCACATAATAACAAATACGCCTAACATCAATTGTTTCTTTTCCACAGTTGCTCGCTTTATCATAGAACTAATCAAACATCATTCAATCATTCATACCAGTTGTAGTGTATTGGTTTGAATAATAATATTTAACAATGCATATTACTTTACTAAAGAGAAGGATTCAGTTTCACAGGATTCCAAAAAAAAAATAATAATTAAAGGATCTTCCTCTCTTTAATGTTTTGTGATTTAAAGAACCTCAATTTGCAAACAAAAATAATTTCTTCTTCCTCAATTATTGTGCATCATTATCTCATTCAATTTTACACGCTTCCAAAACTATATTATGCAGTTCATGTCTTTGATATTTATGCATTTATATTTGTCAAGCAATGCAATTTATTTTCTCTCAATTGTATTTTCATATTCTACAAAACATGCTAATAAGTTTAACATCCAACATATTGGGTCTACGATTACTGCCCCATTCAATGCATACATTAATTGGATTTTTGTTTCAATTCATTCTCACACATTCAATCAACTATCTCATACCTATTTCTTAAATCAAATATATCTCTAGTCTCAATAAGGTTTTCAATTTTCAGGTACTTATAATAATCTCTATTGCAATCAACATCATACGGTAATGGATGGTTAGTGACTTTTATCCATTAACATCTAGATAAAATGAAGATGCATGCTTACAATTGTGTAATGGTGCACTTACTTGATTAACTCGATTTGTCCAATTAACATTGTTGCTTCTATCGACCATTGCTTGCTTAACGACTTCGTTCTCGACTATGGCTTCATTATGTGCCCTCCCAACACTTTCATTAACAATTATCTACGATTTTCCTTGCTCCTCTTTGCCTGTCTTTGATTAGACTATGCCAATTCGATTGCCTTCCTTATCAATTCGATTGCCTTCCTTTTTCAGATTAAGATGTAGGGCACCAGAGCAATGTCGTTTTTTCTATTTAGTAAATAACTGATTTTACTCTTTCACCCTTCTTTACAATAAATATGTCTCCAACTTGCAATAACTGTATTATTCTACCGTTGTAAGTACATTGGCCTACTTTCTTCTTTTTACACCATAATTTATTATCGTGTATTGGAATGAATCATTCCATATATAATTTTTGTTATTTATATTAGTGTTTTTGTTAAATTATTATGTCAAGGGTATTTTAGAAAATAAAGACAAATGAATTTCTATTTAAGAATTATTCCAAATATAATTTTTGAAATTGAATTGAATTACTTATTTTAAATTATACTATACTAAAAATGATAAATTCATTTGCAAATAGATTTAGAATTTATTTACAAATGAATTCTATAACTATTTTTTTAATTATTCCGAACGAGCCAATAGAGTTGTATTTACTTAGTAAGGAAATGTAGGGCACACACATGGAGAATTAAACTTTTCAATTAGCAAGGACTAAAGAGTATTTAAGGAAATTTAACGGAAAAATAGTACTTATTTTACTGAAGGACTAAACAGTTAGATGGAGGTGTATGTTTTAAGGGTGGCCACGGTTCCGGAACCGGCGGTTCCGGTTCCAGAAAAACTGGAACCGGAATCGAACCGAAAAGGTCCGGTTCCGGTGACAAATTACCGGAACCGGCGGTTCCGGTTCCAGAAAAACTGGACCGGAATCGAACCGAAAAGGTCCGGTTCCGGTGACAAACCTACGGTTCCGATCGATTTTCCGGCGAATCGCATAATTTTAAATTTTAAATTTTTGAAGACCGGTTTTAAAAAAATAAAAATTATTTGAAACATAAAAAATTAAAAAAAATAACACCTAAAAAAATTAAAAAATACTCAATTAAAATTTAATTTTTTTAAAGACTTGAAACAATAATTTATTTTTTTTTTTAAAAATTTTTCAACTGAATTTATTTTTTGTTTAAAAAAGTTTGAACAAAAATTAAAAAAAACAAAAAAACTTGGTCTGACAAATTTATAACGCTAGAAACCGCCGGTTCGAACCGGCAAGTTCTAACTGGCCGGGAACCGGCGTTCCAGTCCGGTTCCGATCCGATTCTCATGGAAACCGCCGGTTCCGGTTCAGAAAAATTGGAAACCGGAACCGAACCGAAAATCTCTAGTTCCGGTTCCGGTTTGGCCCCAGTTCCGGTGAACCGCCGGTTCGAACCGGCAGTTCTAACTGGCCGGGGAACCGGCGGTTCCAGTCCGGTTCCGATCGATTCTCTGGAACCGCCGGTTCCGGTTCCAGAAAATTTGGAACCGGAACCGAACCGAAAATCTCTAGTTCCGGTTCCGGTTTGGCCCAGTTCCGGTTCTCACCGGTTCCGATTACAGTTCTGGACCAGTTCGAACCGACGGTTCCGATTTTCGGAACCGTAATATGGTCACCCCTAGTATGTTAGGATGTTAAAATAATTTTATCAAACAGTTAGGACAAATTAATTAATTTTATCAATCTTAGGGCTTAAAAGTAATTTTCTCTCTCTCCTTTTGTATTTTTTTTCCTTTTTTGTCAGGGTTAGGAGGGAAACGGAGTCATCTGTTCTCTCAAAAAACACCAAAAATAAGAACCATTAAAAGTATCGGAATTAGAGAGTCAAATAATCAATGGAAAGAACGACGGAAATCACTTATCCAATCACTGAAACTGAGAGCTCAAACGACAACCACAAGCGCGATGGCGATTTCCAGGAACACAATTCGGGGGTAGCGAAGAAGCAGAGAGCAGAAACAACATTAAAATCGTCTTCTACAACAGACAATACAGTGGATAAGATGGTAAGGAGAGATTCAGATTTGTGCAAAGTGAGTGAAGAAGAAAGCAAGCTAAATGGTTGTCTAGAAGAAGGTAAGCAGAATATGTTGGAGACGAAGGAGTTCAAGATCGATGCAGACGCGGCGGAAGATAAAGGTTCCAGGCACACTATGGAGGATGCTTGGGTTGTGCTCCCGGACGCAAGCTTGGACTCTCCAGGCACATTGAGGTTCTAATTTGTTTATTTATTAAGATTTTTTTTTCCAATTAACAAAGGAAACCAAAAACCTAATGTCGTTGTTGTTTTGCTGTTTATGAGACAGATGTGCTCATTTCGCAATTTATGATGGACATGGAGGGAGGTTAGCTGCTGAGTATGCTCAGAAGCATTTACACACAAATGTTCTTTCAGCTGGCTTACCACGTGAGTTGGTGTGTTTGCTTGGTCTAATTTCATATGTGATTTTTTCTGGACATGTGTTGGACTAAGTATTGTGTTCACTGGTGCAAGTTCTTGTGGAATTGGTATTGGATTCTCATAGCTTATACATTGACTCATTTTAGAGGAGCCAAACGAAAATAATGATTAGATTAGTATGTCACATGGTAATTGCTGTCCAGTGAGCATTTTCTTTTAGGAAAGGCAAAAAGTACTGTAGTTTTCATACCCTAAAGACTAAAATACAATGCAGAAGTCCAGGCAAATTGCATATTCTGTTTGCGTAGAAGAAGCTTTTATAAATTATTTTTTTCTTGTGTTCCTATTTTGATTTTATTGTGCCTGTTTTCTATTTGTCTTGTAATGTTTTGTCCCTTCTAAAAAACTTGAGTGTATGTGATGCTTGTCTTAGTTTCTGATACATAAAGTATTTATGGATGAAGTGTTGAGCATATCTCTTGTGTTGGCACTTTAAGTTGGTTTCTTAGGCAATACTTTAGGGAATAACTGAGATTCTATATCCGCCAACATATTCTAAATAATTTTTATCATTCTCAATTCTTGCTCTCTGCAGTTCTACTAACTTTGGAGGCACGTTTTTTTGGTATGGACTCTTATTGGTAATGTCAATCTAGTTCAGGACAGTTGATACCATGATTATGATCACTTATTATGTCTGCAGTTGTTTCATTCCTCTTCTAATCTCATTGATCTCCTGCTTTCCACTTTTACTCAATATGAAAATTGTATGTTGGTTTCTTTTTTTTTTTAGGCTTCTTCTGTTACATAGGAACTTGATTAATCTATGACATACAGTAACTCATGTTTCTCCGAATAGCCATTTAATTTATAATTATGTTGCAGATACATATGATACATGCTTTGCAAGAAATATGTGTAGACAGCCCTACATAGTAAGAAACATATTTGTGTCAATCTGGCCATAATCTTCACACTGGTTTTTAAATTAACTCCTATTCTGATTATTGTATTTAGTGGTACAAGGTATGCTTATTTGCCATTGCAAAGGCGTATGCACTTGGAAAACTCATTAGCTATTGATGTGGAGACTGTATTTGTTTTGTCAGACAGTTCTCCATCAATTCAATCTGGAAAATGCCTTCATAACTTGTTGCTTAGATGAAGAAGTATTCCTATCTTTACCACCTGGCCATCCATGAACGGGAGGACCAAAAAAAAAAAAAAAAGTATCTTATGGCTTGAAATGTGTTGGCAGAAATTGGTTCAGCTCATCTAATGTTTTCTTCTTTGATTGTTTCATTCCAACCTCAAACTAATTATTACCTTTTCTCGTTGTTTCATGCCTTCTCTTATCTTTATTTGGTTCGTGTTGATCATGTTTATCTTGCATTGATGTGCAATTCATTGATCACTTGATGCAATTTCCATTTGGCACATTGCATGGAAATCTAACACAGTCACTCAGAGGGAATGCAGCTGTTCTCTTCTTCTTGTCTATGTTCTTATGAATGTTTACTATTCATACTTATGGGCCTTGCTTGTATAAATGAATCTAAAGTGTAGAATTTATTTATAAATGAATTTCCCTATTTTTTTATGATAAATTTATAATTGGAATCCAATTGAATTCCATAAATATTATTTTTGTAATGAATCTAGCATTCAAATAAATATATGATAATTCTCTAAAACACCCATAAAGTATAATATGTAGATTACGACACCAATTGGCAGTTTGGCAACCATTATGTATATTATGACCATATTTAAAAACATGTGTGATGTTTCCTTGCTCCTGAAGCTTTCTTTTCTTTTTCTTTTTTTCTTTTTTTTTTTTTTGGCTAATAGCCTTCTGAAGTGTACTTGGAATGCTTTCCCACCCTTCTGATATGCTGGAGTTTCTCATTTAATTTACAAATTTGCTACTAATCTCTTAGCATCAAACTCATCCTGTATGGAAGTTTTCACAATATTGAAATTTCTGGTTGGAAATTCTAATATTTTTGTGCTTGCATCTGTTGGCATATTATGTATAAATTCTCTTTTGTGGAGTTTTTTTTACCCCACCAGTGGATTTTTAGGGATTTTATGTGCTCCTGATCTTGCTGTTTATTCCTTATGATTTTGATCCTTATTTAAGAGGTTGTGCGGCATAAAGATGCACTAGTTTATTAACATTTTCTACCTTATTAACTTCATATGCAAGCCTGATTACTGTAGAAAGATTATTCTGTCACCTATAAATTTCTAATTGTCTTCTCAGTTAGTGTGTTTGATCTATTATAGTTTTTTCAGCTTTTTAAATCGTTTTTACTGGTATATCTACTTTTGTTATAATTTTCCCTTCAGATTGATTGCTTAACAAGCACTAGATGTTGAATTATTTCTCTTGGTAATTTAGTCCCATGTGGAATCTTGGCTTGTTTTTTTTATGACAAAACATGTTTGTATTTCTTGTTGATTTACTCTTGTTCTTTAGCATCTAAGGCAATTACTCATAATTTGCTGTGTTGCAGAAGGATGTGAAAGCTGCCAAAAAAGCCATACTTGATGGTACAATATCATCTTATATGTTTCTTGTTTGTTCTTTTATTCATTGTTGTAAGTTCTAAAGTATATATATAACTTTTTGTATTTTAGGCTTTCGAAGAACTGATGAATCCCTACTCAATAAAAGTGCTGCAGGTAAATGGTAGAATAAAATATCCAATATATGGAATGTTCTTTTTCTGTACTCTTTTGTATAATCTGCTTTCCACAGTTATTTTGGGAACTTTAAAACTAGCATTGAGTATGAATGCAATGTGTTCAAAGCTTCAATGCATCATATTCTTAATTATACATAAGGGTATTCAATTGCAATTGGAATAATTAAAGGTTGTCTTGGGAATTATATTTATAAATTGCTATAGGTTTTTAGTCTTGAGTGGTGTTGCTATATCCTGAATTCATGAAGTTTGGCATATCTCAAAAGTTTTTGACTTTAGTATTCTATTTTTTAATCTCTCTCTCTCTCTCTCTCTCTTGGTTTTTGGGAGTGGGATTCTGGTCTCTAGTAAGCTTGATTGACAATTCTTGTTTCTAGGTTCTCCTCCTTTACGTTTCCCTTTTGTGTCAATTATAAATTTTGGAGAGTCACAAAAATACTGAAAAGAATTTCAAGTGTCAACTGAGGACTCATGTCATTTGGTTTTGTGCATTCTTATTAGGGGGATGGCAGGATGGTGCTACAGCTGTATGTGTCTGGGTATTGGGACAAACAGTAAGTTTAGTACTCTTCTAAGATTTAAATATATTTCTTTTATCTGAAGCCATACCTCTAGTTAAAGGAGCCTGGAGAAAGTAATTATTATTTTCTTATTAAATTACAATAGAGAATGAATGTAAGCAATAGTGTTTATTTGATGGAGAGATGTTTAATCATTGGTTTTGCGATTCCATCCATTACAACCGTTGTAAAATTCTCACCAGAAGCTTTTATATTTTAGGGGTTGGGCTGGATTTAAATATATTTCTTCTATCTGAAGCCATACCTCTAGTTAAAGGAGCCTGGAGAAAGTAATTATTATTTTCTTATTAAATTACAATAGAGAATGAATGTAAGCAATAGTGTTTATTTGATGGAGAGATGTTTAATCATTGGTTTTGCGATTCCATCCATTACAACTGTTGTAAAATTCTCACCAGAAGCTTTTATATTTTAGGGGTTGGGCTGGATTGCATTCAAGTCCTTATGGGTAATGATTGTGAGCGGGACTAATATAGATGATGACACAATTTGTTTGCATAATAGAAAAATAACTTAGCAAGTTGTTACTCTTAATTTTATCAACTATCATCATTCGAAGGTTTTTCCAATATCAAAGTCAAATCAATCTTCCTCTCTTGTAGCTTCAAACTGATGTAGGATAACTTGGGAAAACTTGAACTTTTAGGAGATTGGGGCTAGGTTTAGAGAAACAAAAAATTCAAGCTTGAAATCAATGTGGCAGATCTGAATTTATTTAGAAAATGAAGGAAAAATTAAGCAAGCAAAAATGAACTACTGGCATCACACTAATAGCATGTAGGAGTCGCTCCTATCAAGAAAGGAGCATACTTTCTGGGGTTAGAATTCATATTGCAAAATGACCCTAATCCTAAATTAAGTTAGATTGGACAAGAGAATATTAAAAAGTGAGTACAAAGAGACCAAATTGTCAACCTAAATAGGCTGGAACTTATGGTTACACAAATAGAAAAAGTAACCAGAATTAGTTTTTATTATTACTCAAAAATATGAAATCTGAAATTTGCCTCTGAGGAGAACATTAAAGTCCTATTTGTTAGCATCTAGTTCAACTAGAAAAAGGTTTTAAACATAAATACTGATAGAATAAGGACTACAAGATAAAATCCTACTAGAATAGTCCTAATAGTAAATCCTAATAGAAGTAGATGTTGACTATTCTAAATAAAGCCCGACTTAACTAAAACATAAAATAAACCTAATTAGGAAATTGCTACATTATTGCGAATGATAACTCGCTACAGTAATATGAACAGTAGTTTGAGAAAATTCTGAAATTCTTGACTGTTGATTGTGCATCAAGGAGAATACAATAATCATTTTAATATTTTTATAAAAAATTCAATTTGTTTTTGACTACTAATTAGTAGACTACTTTCAGGGTTTATTTTTTTTTGTTTTTTAATTTAAAATGTCCTATAATGATGAGTCGGATGTTATGACATGGTAACTTTTAATTAATTACAGTTCTATACATAAGTGCCACATACGCGTTGATGACATTGTTAAGGGTTCTGGACTGAAATTGCTAACAGCAAAAGACACACAGGGTACTGCAGTATCACAAACCTTTAAGTGTTACAATGCTAAATCGTATCTCACTTTTTTGTACTTTCTCCTATGTTTAAAGTACTCTGAGGGCTACTAAAAATTATGAAAATAGGTATATTGTATTAATAGAGTATGAGCATAAGTGGAATGGTTCTTAAATCAGAGATATTATCGTATGTCCCATCTTTCACTTGCTTTATTGTGTTCTTGTGTAGAAAATTCTTTCTCGAGTTTTGGCAGGTTGTAGATATAATAAAGTATGACTAAAACTGGTGAGTACTTGATCAAACAAGCAAATATGTTAGAATTTAAAAAGAAAAATAACAACTAATTGCTAACCTTTTTACTGTAGTTCTTTTTTTAGGTTAGTAAAAGATTGTTGGTTTGCCCTGGAAAAGGCCCAATGCATAAATTTGACTCCAAACCTTCACCGATTATCCTTGTGGTTTCCTAAACTTTATGGAGGTTCAATTATGGTCCCGCACTTTCACATTTCAATAATAATTATGCTCATTGCCAAAATAAAATATCTTTGCAAGAGTTCAATCATGACCCTACACATTCACATTTCGTTTTTGTGAGGGGCATAGTCATTATTGAAATGTGAAAGTATAAGGTCGTGATGTATTCCCGGCAAAGTTCAGGGAGCTACAAGGATAATCGCAGAGAGTACAATGCCAAATTTATGCATTAGGTGCCCTAGAAAATGATTCTTAAGATGGATGAAGTAATAGTAATTATTTTAGAGAATAAGAAGTACAAAAGGTTGAGTAGCAACTATGACCTTGGAGCTTGTGTTGCAATTTCTTTTTCTTGATTGAATTACATCATATGGAACTAATTCTACTTTAGGAAGGATTATACCAAATTCAGAGATAGGAAGTGCTACTAATGTTGTGAGAAGGGCCATATTTGATTTCTGTTAGGAAGATGAAAAAAGATCTACTAGACTTTAAAGAAGTCATTATAAGATTAAGACTGTTGCCACATTTGTCCAAGATAAAGAATATGAAACTGGTGATGTCTCATGGCATATGAAAATAAGGATTCATCGAATAATAACAAAGATGGTTTGATACTTGTAACGAAAAAATAAATATATCAGTAAAAAATACTAATTGAAAGTTGAAGGAAATGGTAACATTGGATATGTTTTACAGTAGCATGAAGACTCCTAATAGTACAAAGTGCTTACTGAAACTTCAAAGGAACTTATGATTTAGGCATTTGGATTAGTTAAGTTATGAGGACTATGGAAATGATGGATTAATGAGAAGAGTTTTGTTGACAATGAAAGGAAACAAAGTTTGGAAATTTGTGTAAACTGAGACTAAAGATGCTGTTTGAAACTAGTCTTCAAATGAAAAAGGTAGATTTGCAAACAATGGACTATTTTCTGTGATGGAGATGGAGAGTTGTTGTGAGTCTAGCCTAGCCCATAATGTCCTACATACCACTAGTATAAGAACCCTTTGTTTTCTTGATAATAGGAGTTGTTTGCTTTGTAGAATTGGCAGCATTATGCTATATATATGTTTGGCTAGGACATGTGGTTTTGTCATGAAAAAGAAGTATTGGAATTTTGAGAAAGGAAGAATGTCGTTGGATTTATTGATTTTTGGTTGGTGAATAATCTCTATTTGAGAAGATTATAATCTTGTTTGGATTTTGTTGAGGAGGCAAGCTGTTCCAGATGGTGGAATGAGGAGGTACAAAAGTCATCAAAGCAAAATGTGAGTGGTATAAAAAGGTTATCAAAAGCATCTAGTGAGAAGGTTTTTGAAGAATATAAGAGAGCAAAGAAAAAAAGTTAAAACAAACGGTTAACAAAGTTAGAGGTAAAGTATCTGTAGGTTTGTACCAAAAGTTGGGAACAAAAGAGGGGGAGAAGGATATGTACAAGCTCGCAAGGCCCAAAGATAATAAGGATAAGGGCTTGAGCCAAATTAAGTGAGCTAAAGATAATTCCCATTTGGTGTCAACAGGAGATAAAGAGATTAAGGAGAGATATATGTGCTATTTCGATTAGTTATTCAACAAAAGCAACAAGGACTTGACGGACCTTCATGCCTTAGTGATGGATAGAAACCTTAGCTATACTTGTGGAATTAAGCATAATAAGATCAAGGTGGCTTTGAAGCATATGATGGTTAGAAAAGCATGTGGTCCAAATGGTATCTCTATAGAGGCCTGGAAGAGTCTTGGGGAACTAGGAGTTTCTTAGTTAACCAAGTTATTCAATGCTATCCTAGAGGTAGAAAGATGCCTAATGAGTGAAGAAAGAGCACTTTGATACTGATATATAAAGAAAGAAGACATTCAAAGCTGTACAACCTATTGTGATATTTTGAGTCGCATAATGAAGCTTTGGGAAAGAGTAATAGAAAATAAACTCGGGGACATTTCAAAGGTGTCAGAGAACCAATTTGGACCTATGCCTGATAGATCTACAACAAAGTATATTTCCTTCTAAGAAGATTGATGAAAATTTATCAAGAAAAGAAGAACGACCTATACATGATTGTTCATTGACATAGAGAAAGCTTATGGTGGAGTGTTGAGGGAAGTACTTTGGTGGATATTAGAGAAGAAAGGAGTTCATATCAAGTACATAAAGACCATTAAAGATATGTATGAAAATGCAATAACTAGTGTGAGAAAAACTAAAGGGGATATAGAAGAGTTCCCCATGACAGTTGGGCTATATTAAGGATCTATTTTGAATCCATACTTATTTACCCCAATAATGGATGAGCTTACTAGCAAAATACAAGAGGATGTTCCTTGGTGATGTTATTCCCAGATGATATTGTCCTAATCAATAAAACTAGTGGCAGATTAAACCAAAAGCTAGAACTCTTAAGGATAAGGGTTTCAGGCTAAGCAGAAGTAAGACGAAATACATGCACTGTGAGTTTGATTTAAGGAAAAATCAGGAAAGTAAGGTTAGATTAGATGGTATGTTTATCACTCTTCCCACTTGAAAGAAGATGTCATACTCTTTCCCAAACACCAGTTGGGGAGAACTAGTTGTGCCCAAGAGCAATCAATTAGATATCAGGCTAAGAAGGGGGATCTGATAGATGAAGACGTTTCTCATAGAATTCAAGTAAGATGGATGAAATGGAGGAGTGCTGCAACCAACTAGTGTACTATGTGATAGGAAAATATCAAGTAAAAGGTAAGTTTTATAGAACGATGGTGAGACCGGCAATGCTATTTGGGAGTGAATGTTTGGCATCGACTGTGCAACATTTCACAAGATGAATGTTGCAGAGATGCATATGCTGAGATGGATGTTTGGTCACACTAGTTGGACAAGATTAGGAATGATTACATTAGATAAAAGGTGCAAGCAGCAGAAGTTGGAGATAAAATGAGAGAAAGGCGCTGGAGATGGTACGGTGATGTATTATGTAGAC